ACAGTGGGCCTTGTAGTTTCACCTGTTCCGGATGCTGAGGCAGGAGGGTTACTTGAGACCAGGAGTTCATGATCAGGCTGGGCAACACAGACTTTGACTCAAGATAGAACAAAAATAATTAAGAAAGATTATGTGTGTGTGTGTGTGTGTGTGTGTTTTCTAGAAACCAAAAATTTGTAGTAATACATTATTTCTTCTATGCTGTAGAAGAAATTTTTTCACTAAGAGTTTTATGGTTACAAAGTTTAAAAAATATGTATATAAAAATTTTCAAGTTAAAATAGGAAGTAATTGTGAGAATGGAATTATTATTATGTTTGATACTGGGGATTGAACCAGGGGTGCTTTATCATTGAGCTATATCCATCACCCCTTTTAAAATTTTTTATTTTGAGACAGGATCTTGTTAAGTTGCTTAGGGCCTCACCAAGTTGTTGAGGCTGGTCTCGAATATGATCCTTCCCAGTCACTGGGATTATAGGCACGTACCATCGTGCCTGGCATGAATGGAATTATTAATTCAAAGAGAAAAAAGTTTTTTTTTGTGTGTGTGTGTGTATAGATGGTAATATTGGGTATATTGACTTCTGTTACATACATCATAAAGTCATATAATAGTTTATTATTAAAGTTTCAGTATTTTAATACTTCTGGTAAGTGTATTATTTGTAATTATTTACATTAAATAAAATATGAAATATTCTTATTATCAACTTTAAAATATGAGTGAGGTGTGTATATTTTAAAAATTCTCTGTAAGAATACAAAAAATACTGGACAACCACTGGTTTATGAAACATAACCTTTATCCACCTCTTAAGTTATTCTGTAATTAAGTTAGATCACTGAAAGATTATACAATAATGAGATTCTACTGCTTTAGCCCTTTTCAGAATTATCTTCACTGAATTGTCCTAAAGTCTTATGTTCTTTTATGAAAGATTACTAAAAAAAAAAAAAAAAAAAAAAAGGAAAATAGTTAACCCATTTGAAGTCTGTTTAATATTTCTTGTGATGTTGAGTGTCTTTATTTTTTCTATATTTAGCACCAGGACATTTGTTTTCTTCATTAATTGTTATATTTCCTCCTTTCTGACTGTGATAACTAAATGATTTAATGTTTCTTTTTGCCTCCGTCTGTGGAAAATTCAGATCCACATTTGATGCTCAGCTCTAGCATAACTTTCAACTTTGTCAAAAGGAATTTTTTTTCTGCATCCTTGATTGTGTTTTTAAAAATTAAATTTTTTAAATGAAAATTTTATTGCATATCTGTCCTTTGTGAGTATACAAAGAACCACCTCACATACTTCATGGAAAGAGAAGAAATTTCTTTCAAAATAAAAATTTATTTTCCCCTCAGCAATGAGGGTAGGTAGGATAGGTCCTCAAAAAAATTAAATACTTGGGACTGGGACTGGGACTGGGACTGGGGCTGGGGCTCAGTGGTGGAGTGCCTGTTTCGCACATGTGAGGCACTGGGTTCCAGCCTTGGCACCACAAAGAAAGATATTATGTCCATATACAACTAAAAAAATTTAAAAATAAGTCTAGTGTACATTATAAAATTCATTAAATTTTCATTCAAGGACCTGCCTACATACTGAGAATAGTTGACAAAGTTTGCAAACCTTTAGTTCTAATGTTACAATGTGCTTGTTTGCCAGTTTCATTTTGTAATATAAAGAACTGCTTTACTTTTTTTGAATATTGAAAGAGATTTCAAATATATGGGCAGCTCTAATCTTGTCCCTTCTGACTGTTTGCTTTTTAACTCCTATTAAAAGGAGTTTATGGCCTGTTGGTTATTGTTTAGAAGAATTCTGCAATGTGGCTGGGTGTGAATTAGTGGTGACTCTTCAAGTCCTTAGGGGAGAGTGATAAAACAATTTACTGTTTTTGTAACAGCCTCCGGGAAAACCAGTTAGTCCAGCTTTATGGATGACTCAACTTGATACGTTTTTGGAATATAATATTAATCAGTAAAAACTTATTTCTGTCAAATCTGTAGGCCAGTTAAAGAGAAGCAGTAGTAAAAACCCAAATGAGATTAAGAGAGGAATGATGTAGCATGCTTGAATAAGGTCCCCTGTTCTGTGTCACCAGGGGATTAACTGCCTCATTGAACAATAGAGGTTAATTGTATGTCTTGAATCTTTTAGCTGGTTTCCCAATTTTTCTTTAGTGCCCCCAAACACAAGTTAATGCAAAAACATCAGCCTTACTCATCAATAGTTTCATGTGGCCCATGCTTCCAGTCTGCGTTGAATCTAGATTCATGGTATAGAACAGTTTCGAAGGGTCCCTGATGCTTCCAGTTATCCTTTGTAACAATCGTAATTTCAGGCTCCAATATGTTTGCTCCTACAAATAGCTGCCACTTTTTTTTTTTTAGCACCAGCAGAATATATTGTTCTTTTATTAAAAAACAGAAAACTTAAGGTATTTGTTTAATAAAACAATTATCTGATTATACCTAATTAGCAACAGAAACAGTTTTCCTTAAGTATTTGTATGTTAAGCTTTTTTAAGATTGAATGTTGATAGTTTTGTAAATTGTATGACTCCGTTAAGGACTTCAGAACATTTTAGATGCATGAATCAGAGATGTCCAAACTTTTTGTGGAATACAGAATTAGCGGGGACCTTTTTAAAAATTCACACTCGTGGGCCTCATATTTTTTAAAGATGGTATCCCAAGGTGGTGGTTTTGTAGCCTGTCAGTCACATTTGCTGATGATTTATTTTTTTAAAGTCATCAAGATGAAGCTGTATATCAGAAAGATAATATGTTAGAATCATTTGAGATGAATATAAACATACCTTGGGAGAAAACTGAGATAAAGGAATGACAGAAATGTTCAGTACTTACAGAGGAGGTAGGTAAAGGGGAAGAGGTGAGGGCACATTTATTAGTGGATCCAAGTGTTGTAGTAATTACCATACTTACCTTCCTAGATGCTAATACTCGTTAAGCAGTGGTCACAAACTCCATGCCTTTAGAGCTTGGGTAGGTAATGTAAGTTACTGAGAAATGTTGCAAAACGAGAACCTGACATCCCTGGTGGGCAGCTATTGTTAGTCAGGGCCTGTTGTTGCCAAACCAAGTCTAGCATTTCTCCTATACCTTTCCGTGTGTGAGGAGCTGGGATTCCAGACTTTATGTGAAAACACCAGGTTTTTAGATGCCGGTTTAATGTACTGAAGGTACCAAAAAGTGGACAACAGACACCCATCTGTTAGCTTTGGTGTTCCTACCACAAATCAGCAGTCTTTGTTTTAGAGCATCGCCTCTTCAAGTGTGGTTCCTGCATCAGCAGCATCAGCATAATGGTGACCTTCCTAGACATGTGATTATTAGATCCCACCTCAGCTCTACTAAATCAGAATCTTTGGGGATGAGACCCAGTCCACATTGTTTTAACAAGCCTGATGGGTGGTCCTGATGTATGCTTGGGTTTGAGAATTATTGGGAATATGAAGATATATTGCAATTTCTGTGTGGTGATACTAAAGGCAAAAACTCATCAAATATCCTATAAATTTGTCAAGTATATTTTTTGTTTAAAAAATACGTAGAGTTTTTTTTGTATAAATGACTATTATGTGTGTACATATTTATGTGTGTTGTATGTGTTTGTGTGTGTGTGTGTGTATGAAAAACATTTTTTTTTTTTTGCCAGAATCAGCACAATCATTAAATTGGATTTTCTCCCCCATACCTTTTTTTTGCTTGTTGTTTTCTTTTGGGGTATTGCAAGAGAATTTAATAACAACTCTCTGCCACATTGTGACCTCATTAGAGTATATCTCACATTTTTATTTTCTGCTTGGTTAAAACTTGATAAATATGTTACATAGCTTTCTGAAGCTCAATTTAAAATCTCTTGTGTAAAAAGATTAAATGTGAATATGTTAAAATTTAGAAGTACTGGTTGAAAAACCCTTATGCAAAATTTTTGAGACCAGATGTGTTTTGGATTGGGTTCTCTTCAGATTTTGGAATATTTGCATACATGCACGAGATAGCTCACTTGGGATTGAGACCCAAGTTCACACATGAAATTTGTTTTTTATATATACTTACTGCACATAGCCTGACTGTAATTTTATAAGTATTTTTAGTGAACCTGAGTTCCAACTGTGACCTGTCATACAGGTGTGGAATTTTCCACTTGTGATGACGTTGGTGCCCCAAATTTCAAATTAGGCGTGCTTAACTTGTATATCCTTATTTTATCACATTTTTCTTGAGTTTTTTTAAAAGAATTATTTCATTTTTATATAAAAAGGAAAGTTAATTTATGTTATTTCATGTAAGTGTCGCTTCCTAATTGCTGATCAGGTTGTTTGTTTTAATACCCACGTATATTTAGTACCAATATTTTTCTCTATTCCCAAAATGTAGAAATGATTGCTATGCCAGTGATTGTTGTCCTTAAACTTCTCCTTCCTTTTGTATAACCCAAACAGATTTGGCAATTTAAAATTCTTAATACTTTAAAGACCAAATTAATTATGAATTTTATATAGATAATTTTCTTACATTTAAAAGTATATAAGATGTGGTGGCAAATGCCTATAATCCCAGCACCTGGGGAGATGAGGAATACTAAGTTACCTACTGATGCAGGAAGATCACAAGTTTGAGATTTCACCAATTTAGTGAGGCCCTAAGTAACTTTGCAAGACCTTGTCTCAAAATAAAAAGGGCTGGGGATATAGCTCAGTGGTAAAGCACCCCTGGGTTCAATGCCCAGTACCAAACAAACAGACAGCAAAACAACAACAAATCCCTGAAGTATACACAAGATTTTCATTTGTTATGAGAAAAATTCATATTTGTCTTATACTTAAAATGTACTTTCAGAGTATTTAAAATGCTGAGTTAGACTGAGAATTTTGGAATAGTCTGATTTAATTTAGACATTAAATTAGAAAAAAATCATCATGTTTATATATGATATTTATTAATGAAAACACATTATATTAATTCACAGGGTAAACCAGACTTGAATACAACATTGCCGATTAGACAAACAGCATCTATTTTCAAACAACCAGTAACCAAAGTCACAAATCATCCTAGTAATAAAGTGAAATCAGACCCACAACGAATGAACGAACAGCCACGCCAGGTAAGAACTTGATTTATCCTCCAGTCTGATTTTCTAGAAAATTCTAGCATTTTTGCCAGACAGTTCAAGAAAATTCTGGTTGAAATGGAATGTATATGGAAAGAAAATTATTTTATGCTCTAGGAATATTACATGAATGCTGGAGAATCACTATTATAAGATTTAGGTTAAGTATCTTGAGGAAAAATTTAAAAGTTCATTTAAAAAGAATCTAATGACATGGACTATAGTTTTATGCTTTTTGTGTGGTAATATATCAGACTTGGTTCTGCTAATCTTAGTTTTTAAAGATTATCTTTCTAGGAGTAACATGGCACAGAAGGACGAAGCATGCAGTCTGTGTTAAAAAGTATTTCTGTTACTTGGAAACTACTTTTTAGGGGGGGACTTCTGATTTCTTATTTCATGAAAACCATCCCACCCCTTTTGAAAAACAGATACACTTTGTAAATATGGTATACTGTCTTGTGAGTTTCATATTTGTATAAATTCAATTTATTTTTCTCTTTCTTATTGCTTCAAGCTGTATTCCACTAGAATCTTTCCTTAGAAAAATGGTATTATCTGAAAGGCCTCCCTGCTGCATAGTAATGCCATATAGCCAGAGAGGGAGACTTGACAAAATGCCAAACCTTCTACATAATGTTGCTTATTCACTCCCCTAATTGTGGTCAAAAGCTCAGCTATTTCTATGAAGTTCCAGTAACAGTGGGTGAGGGAGTGGAGGGAGAAGCGTCTGTGCATTGTTTTCCTCTCCTTTCTCTGCCTTCTCCCACCTGAGGATGAGGAACACTGAGTTACTACAACAATGGTCTTTTGCTCTCATACTCCCTTTTTAGATGTCTCACTCCACCCTTTCATTTGAATTTTGTTTTTCACTAGTCCTTCAAGTGTCTCATCTCCAGACTTCACAAAAGACTGGGTCAAAACTTTCAGACAGTTACTCTAGAAGAATCTACTTAAAGAAATTCGGTTCCCACATCCTCTGTAGTGTTTTTTCCTCTTCAGGTGAGCCAGGAAAACAGAAGATATTTGGAGCCACATTGGATCAGCATCTTGCTATAGATGTCTCAAGATTTGAAGTTCTAAACTTGCTTTACTGTTGGTCCCCAAGAGATTCAACAGGGGCCATGTAAGTGTATCACATCCAATATCAAAGATGCGTACCTGCATGTGCCTTTAGGTTCTTGTCATCACTTAGGTTTTCTTTGGACCATTCAGCTTTCTGTGTGAGGCTTTTCCCATCTGTTTTACTACTGTACCCAGGATAGTCAAACTACCAAATAGTGGTAGTTTCAGAATATTCATTGCAACATGGAAGGAATTCTGCCATTCTGAACTTTACCCACCTAGGTAAAGCCATTCCCTAGTTGTATTCTTTCTCAAGTACTGTCTGAAGTCTTAAACATCTTGTTCTTTTGCTTTTTGGTGATTTAAAAATCACTTACTCACAGAGATTTTTATTAACTGAAATTTTTGAGAGTGCATAATTGGGTAAAAGAGTTGCTTCAAAAATCCCAAAAGGTAAAGGTAGAATATATATATAATCTTTGATAACAGTGTTCTACATTGGAAATTTGGGTTTTCATAGGTAGCATTTAATAGATTTTTATCCTCATCTTTTCTTTGCCTAAACATTCTCAATGTAGTCTATAATGAACAAATATTTTGTTTACAGACCAGTCAGTTAGCAACTTCTGGTCATTCTGACGGTAATTTGTTTTCTGAACCTAATTTCATTCACAGATTTAAAAAAACATATTTACAGAATATGTTGCTGTCTATAAAGATATTGGTAACTTAGAATTTTAAAGCTGAAGAGTCCAGAATAATTGCTCCTTATTCTTTGGTATGTTGAATAGTTTTGAGTTTTCCTTCTTTTATTATGGTTTATGAGATTACTCTCAAAGGAAAAGTATGTGTCACAAAAGCTAAATCCTTTCCCTTTCCTCTCTCAGCAAAAAAAAAGAATGTCATTTTAATGCAGGTCTTTTGAAGTTTAGTCTTCCTTTTAGCTTACATAGACGGGAAGGCAGATTACTTTTCCAAAAGCTTGGGATGTTTTTCACTTTATTTTCATGTTATTGGATGATATTTACAGAATGGTTTGATTACACTAAGACATTGGTTGTCTTTGCCTTTATTATCTTCAACATAAAAATTGAGGTAATATGTGACTACTGTGTCACCAATAGGATTCCAAAATATAAAAGAAAGTAGAGGAGAGACAATTAATGCTTTTAACATCATGATCTGTCATCTTGATTGTCATCTTGATATTCCATTTTAGAGTCAGGTTTGATTTTAATTATATTTTGAAATGTATAGCAGATGACAGCTACTCAATCATTATTGAGTAGATAGTTAGCAAAAGATACATAGGCAAAAATGATTCTTCCAATTTTGCTACCCATTAATTAATTAAACTTTAAGTTTCCTGTCTCATTTGAAGTTATTTTTATCATATAGTAAATGAATTAGACAATGAGGTTTCTATTCTTGAGGTTCCTGTAGATATTTTTATTCTATAACCACATCACATTCTGGTGTGGTGTCACCCCCTGTAATCTCACTGTTTTAGGAGGCTATAGCAGGAGGATTGCAAGTTTGAGGCCAGTCTAAGAGATAGCTGTCAATCAATCAATCAATCAATAAAGGGCTAAGGATAGAGCTCAGTGGTAGAGTGGCCCTGAATTCAGTCCCTAGGACCACACTCACAGATATGTCGAATTTTGAAGCCCAGAACGGGGATTAGGTTTCTGCATCTTAATCTACATTTTACCTTCAATAGGTTTCAAGTGATTAATTTAAATAAGAAGCAATTATAAAAGTAATTCTGTCTTATAGGCACATATGTCCAGGTCATTATATGCAGTCTAATGTAAATTATACACATTATGAGTTTTTAATATATTGATTCTTTATAAATGTCTTAACTCTAAAAATGCAAATTAGTGTATGTAAAAAGAAAAGTACACTAAACAGAATTCTGTACAGAGTTTAGTAGTGATTTCTGCTTATAATTAAAATTGTGAAGTGTAAATGATATTTTAACTCCTGCTTATCATAGAGTAAGTAGTCAATAATTTTTATATAAAGTTTTAGCATATTTGATATTATCTTTTCATTAGATTGAAAAGAAACCTGAAATGAAGTGAATTTTTCCAACTATCAGACTGTTATTTCCAACAGTAGGATCACTAAAATCTCCGTATTGATTCAGATACTTAAACATGTCCCAGGATTTTAGTGTGCTTGAATTGTGATTTTACTGTGTCTTTCCTGGCTTATGTCTTTAAATATGTGAAAAACTCACATTTTGGATTTTAATTTCTTTGATGCTGTCATCTTTGATGCCTTCCGGACTTTGTTTGCTTCTTTTTTTACTCTTATCCTCAAATAAATTTCATCTTTGAATTATAACTTCTTCCTTTTAATTATTAAATTATAGGGTGCTGATAGGCTTTTGATGTTATTGATAATCTATGAATATTATATTTCTTACAGAATATTTACTTTTTTTTTTGTAGGAGTAAATATTTAAAGCCAGTGAAAAACGCTTATTTGAGTCTTCCACTTGATCTTAGATTTTTTTCCTTTTGTTTTCTAATCCTTCTTCCAGAGGATATGAAATATCTCTTTACCCTCTCATAGAAGTCAGCCTTATCTTTTAGAAAGAATGGCTTAAAATATATTAGAAGAAACATTTCAGATGAAAGATAAATTTAAAAACCATCTGCAACTTTAAACACATTGTGTGTGAAAAGTTTGTGAAGTGTTTCAGTATGTAGTTGATATAACTGAGAATTATTGTTCATCAAGGCTTTCTAGCTAGCACCTTTACTTCTTTCTAACTTTTGAAGAGATATCCAATATAGTCTTATCCTAATGGTTTATGATTGAGAAATAGATCAGCTCAAGTACAGAATCCCATGAAGGGTATTATAGTCCTTTTTCTTGACAGAAAAATTGGCTGCTTTGGGCATAGAAAATGCATGACATGTCCTATGCTTCTTAAAAGCATTACTGTGGGGAATGTTGGGAACCTGCCTTGTACAAATTGACAAATAAATAGTGTAGGCAAGTGGGGTTGGGGATGTAACTCAGTTGGTAGAGTGCTTGCCTCACATGCACAAGGCCCTGAGTTAATCCCCAGGACTACACACACATACACAAAAAGGTATAGGCAAGTGCTGCAGTTGTTGAAGAAGGGTGAAGTGACTGTGGCTGGGAGGTTTGAGATAAGACGTGCTGGCTAGGAGGTTTGGACGAGATGTATGCTGGACTTGAAGTTGAGAGGAGTTGGGAAAGCACTTGAGAGGGAGAGAACATTCCAATTTGGGAGAGTAGATTTCAGAAAGCTGTTACTAGGGAATGGGCAAAGAAGGAGGAAACAAGCTAAATGGAAAAAAGTTTTTATGGGAAATTGTGGGAGTTGAGGATGGTTCATGTTGAAGTTTCTTTAAATGCCAGTCTTTAGAAGTTTTTAAAATGTTATTTGTTTTCTTTATTTTATTTTTTGGTATTGCTTTCTTTCTAAGAGAAATATTTGGAATAGTCAAAAGAAAAAATTACTCATTTTCATTTTTATAATAAAATCATAATATTTTCTTTTACTGTTTAAATGTTTTCTTTAAATATTTTAATATATTTTTAGACAACATTTTTTTTCAATTTTTTATTCTAATTAGTTATACATGACAGTAGAATGCATTTTGACATATCATATATCGAGTATACCTTCTCATTCTTCTGGTTGTATGTTATGTAAAATTAAACTGGTTGCCTAGTTATATATGCACATCGGATAATAATGTCCGATTCATTCTTCTATCTTTCCTACTACACTCATACCCCTTCCCTCCCTTTACTCTCCTCTGTCTAATCCAGAGTGCCTCTGTTCTTCCCTAGCTGCCCCCTATCCCACCCTTTATTGCGAATTAGCATCTGCATAAGAGAGAAAACATTTGGCCTTTGGTTCTTTGGGATTGGCTTATTTC